TTTAATGTAGTTTTATCATCAGGAAGTAGTAAACATGTCATAGAAAGTAGGTTTTTCATCCAGTTCATTGAAGAACTTATTTTCAGTCATCCATGAAAATATTACAAAAAAGAGGGCACGGCAGATTTACTCATACTCAGGCTGTGAGTTTGTTGAAAAAAAAATCCATGTTGAACTGGAAATATGAGTTGTTGACACATGTTATAACTAGGTATATAAGATTCTTTCTAACAATAGTCAAGGTAAAAATTTCATTTAATCTTTCAGATAATGCATATTTATTGAAACTTTGATAAACAAGCTTTTTATGTTGAAGGAAACTATGTGCTTTTCATTAATTTTTATTTTTTAACTTGATAACAAACTAAATCCACTAGTGATGATAGTCTGTTCGCTGAATATTTGGCCAAAAACTCTATTATAACCACCTATGATCTGTTAGGTCGACTAAGGTGTAGTATACCTTGTAAAACCACACTATACACTATATTTCTATTCCCTAAAATTTAGGTTTAGTAGCTTAGCTCAATAGCATTACTCTAATATAACTTAAGGTTGCAAAAGTTCTCCCCGACTGAATTTGGTTGTTGTTACATATTGTAGGTAATAAGGTGTAAATGTTTAGGAAATAGCATCAGAAGCATAAAACACAAGAAAAATATTCAACAAGTCTGTAAAAGCAGAAAACAAATTCGTATATTGTGTATTTTTATGAATTTGTGTTTTGCACTTTTGGGGCCACCATAAAAAATAAAAGATTTTTTATCTGTATGCACAACTGTAAACCTAACTCGTGCGTCCTAACAGGATAGTTCACCATAAGAAAGAGAAGATGCTTCTGGAACAAACCTGCTTTTGATGTAATGAGACATGCAGAAGAAAAAAAGTCTAAGTAAAGTAGCAAAGTCATGTATGCTTCAAAAGTTAATTATCCTTGTGTAGAATGTAGTAAGGATACTACTGGTTAGCAACTGTCTTTATTGTATTACTTGTGGCAAATGGCACTGTTTTTCTTGAGAAGGTCTCAACAAAGCCCAAATATATTTGCTCTATGCAGTAATCCACTAGAAGTTGTTTGTTTAAAATGCACATCAAGTCAGTGTGGGAGCTATGATTACTGCATAGCATTGGCTTGTATATTTAAATAAGCTTTAGCTGCAGAACACATTAAAATAAACTGTTAAATTTGAACAAATTCTACAATGCCAGACTCCAGAAACTCCAATTTTTACTAATGCAGCCAGACCAAAGAGGACCATAGATAATCAGTCAGTGAAATTATTGGAGTTAACAGGTGGTAATAAAGGAATGAAACCTATCTTAAAACTGCTTATTCAATGCTCTCTCAATTGTTGTCACGATATATTAATCACTAGCAGCAGAGCTTATGGTAAGACGTGCATGGAGATGGTAAGAAATTAAAAATCCTGCAAGGAAATACGCAGGTAGTTTTCTGGTTTTTTTCAGACTATGAGGAAGCTGTACTACATTGCATAGTCAATTACAGGTTTTCATTAGCCTGAACTATACAAGCAGCAGCAAGTGTTTTAAAAACATAAGTCACCTCCATTTACTAACTTGTTATTAGTTCACCAGATCGCTGTCACCAAATACTAACTACAACATTTTTTCTGGTAGAAACACGACCTCATGCTCAGCACATTACTATAATGTGAACAGGTGCCAAGAATTCATCAAAGCCTTTACATATTTGGACTATGTGTCATTTTGTGCCATTGATCGGTGAACCATCCCATCACTATGTTGTTAATTACTCAACATCAAGCAGCAGTTATAATAAAGACTTTCCATCCTCAAAAAAATGGGAGATGACAAGTTAATAGTACCCCAAACATCCCCATTTACATCTGATGAAGAATTCTTAACTCCATAGGTAAAGAGTAACACAGTAGCAAATTTAAAGAAATTAAACATTGTTGACAAAGAATTCTTTTCTCCACTGATATTAAGGAATCACTCCAGGAAAACTCCAAGGACAAGTACAAACAGTTTTGTAAACAAAACAAAATCAGCAATTACCAGTTATAGCAATGAATTTCAACCACTTCCATGGATGGAGACATCAGAAATAAAGCATTTCAAACAATGATCCCATAACCAAATGCTAAATAAGCAGCATTATAACTGCAACATCTGTCTACTTCCTCTAGATAAGAATTTGAGAATATGTCTCAAACAAAAATAGCAAGTGGTACAGAAATTGTCACAAATGAACCTCATAACAACATGTAAATGCACTGGGAAAATTGAAAGATTTGACTTCTCCACAGACTTCATTGGAGGTACAAGCAAGAGTAGCCAATTTTGTAAGGAAACCATAACTGAAGAAAACTTGGCTGGAGAACAGAAAAATAATGGAAAATTTAAAAAAAAATGACAAATCACTCCCTGTTTTACCGACTCAAAAATCAACAAATAAAGATGTTTCAAAAAGCTGAATGTAAAATGTTTATTTTATCATTGACTTTTCAGTTAACATTAACCGATGTCAAAAAGGACAAGCCAGCTAGCATTGTGATGACTGTAAGCATGGGATCGAAGAATGTCTTCCACAAAAATCTTCTTTATTTAGAGAGATGAGAAGATGATGTATAGTGACAGAAATGGACAAGATGAGTATACCAGTAAAGTAAGGAATAAAAGAGTTGCCATCAGTTCACAACAAGATGATGAAATTTTGATATTATACCAATTTTGTTCCACCCTAAAGGGAAGCTAAGTATACCAAAAAAAAGATAACATAGATTGAAAAACTACCAAATCATATGCAAAGTGTGAAATATACTGGAAAATATCTTGAAAAACTTCAGTATGGAAACATGCGAAAATCAAAAAAATATACTTGTGCAAGCAGATCTAGCAAATTCTAAACAGTTTGCATAAACAACTTGCTCAAGGAATGACACTTGATGATTCAGAGAGTGACCTCCATGATTAAAACAATTACATAATTTGAAGTACCATGCAGAACAAAAGAATCAACAGGATTCACAGACAAAATAGGAAAACAATGCAGATGACCTACAAGTTATAATAAGCGGCATTAATCAACAGTCATTAGTCCAAGAAATGGCGATTACTAAAGACAAACCGTAATCCATTATTTTGTACACTTGTGAAAGATCTAAAACGTTTGTGTGAGAGCAGTAACACTAACAGTGGAATTGGAATAGGCCATGCCTTTAATTTTGGGGCATTTTATGTTATGACAATGGTGTATAAAATTAAAAATACAAACCTTACATGGGAAACAACATAAGAACCTCCAATCAAGCTGAGTGCCAAATATCTTCATTGGAGTCGATCATATCAGACATATCAGGACTTCTTTCACATGTTCAGGCAAATTTTTAAGACTTGGATTTTGAAATTTTCAATTGCGAGAAGAGTTAGTTTGGGCCTCGCCTGAAGAATAAACCAGTCTTAAAATTATCAAATCGTGTTTTCTCAAGGCTACACCAGCATTATGTACTCCATATGAACAAGAAAATGTAAAGCACCACCTAACACTTGAGGTTGGAATGAAAGATAAAATAATGACACAACAAATTATTGCAAACATATTTGGTAAGACAGGCCTCCCAGGTGAGTTATACCTGGTTGATTTCGACATTCATACAGGCCATCTAGAAGGTTGTGCCAACCCTAAAAAATAACATTTATTCTGTGACACCCAGGATCTATCGTGTGATTTTCTTAAAGAGAGACAAGTGCATACAAACTCCAACTTAACTTTTTGCAAATAACGTTTTATGATTCC